ATTTAACGTTGATACATTTTAAATGTACTAAATTGCTACTTCATTATTAAAAATGTGTAATTACAAATATATTTACAATACTTACAAGTTTCAATTGAAATGCTATTAAAGTATATTACATTCAGCTGTCAGTACATTCAGCAGTAGACTTTAATATTTCAAAGACACCAGAATTCTGAAATTGCTTATAAAGATGTACTTAAGTCCTACTTAGGTGGGTTAAAAAGCACTCTAAAAACTGCATTTAATATTAATTTAAACTATAATTGATTTACAATTAATTGTAAATAACATGCATTTAAGTGTCCCAAAACATTACATTCAGTTCCCACTCAAGTATATCGTTTTAAAGTGTTTTATTTCCAAAATAAGTACGCTTAAGTGTACTGCTTTTTCACAAGGGCCTGCTTCATCTTGCACATCATCCCCCCCCCCCCCCCCCCCCCCCCCCCTTCTTTAATTATTCATTTTTTTGTTCTCAAGCAATATTGAAAGTGAGTTGCATAGTACAACACAGTGATGGGTGACGGCCTAAATGCTGCCCTATTGACATGTCTCCCTAACCATTAAAATATGCCAGCATCAAAACCTATTGTGGCTACATCCGGCAAACCACCGCAGTCCTGTCAGAGCTGTGGGCCTCACCCATTTGGCCCACAATGCACCAGACACCTTTCATAAATCAGTACTTGCACAGGCATCTCACAAAGACAAAAATACCTTGAGGGTATTTTCAAATAGGATTATCTTGGGCTTGTGAACCAATTACAAGAGAGCCATTTAGGCATCTAATCTAGCAGAAATGACTGCCTACGCCTCAATTGTTTTACTTTTGTTTAATATTGTCAGTTTTCTAATAATTAGTTTTACTTGCGTGTACACCTTCATTATGACATTCTTACAATAACAAAGACATAATTAAGCCATCCATTTACATCCACTTGGCCTACATGATTTAAGCCTGCTGGTGTCTATAACGAGTCCCAAGTGGAAGAATTACAACTTTCTATAAACTATGAGTGATAAACCATAATTTGTTTATGAGTCACAACCATCTGTTTTATTTCTGTTGTTGTGTTTACTTATTTAATTAGTTATGTAAAATAATAGTAATAATAATAATAAAAATAAAAAGTCCAGAGAGATAGAAAGAGAACATATGCACATAATGCACTCTTCTGCCATCTATTGGTAATGAAGTTTAATTGTCAGCAACTAGAATTTATGAAGCTCAGTTTATGGAGATTGTCATTCCTCCAGAGTAAAGCATGTTGCAACTTGCAACCCAGGTGTTTCATACTACTGACTACTTCTATGCATGTATTTACAATTATTTAGCAGTGTATGTCATTGATAAATATTTTGGAAGTATTACTCAAAAACAATTCAGTACATCCATACACTACCAACCAAATGTTAGGAATAATTAAGTTTTTCTTTAATGTTTCTAAAAGAAGTCTCTTATGCTCAAAAAGGCCGGCACTTATTTGATAACTATGAGAGTAAAAAAAACATGCACAGACAAATCCAAATGAAACCCTGCGGCTCGTGACGACACATTGATGTCCTAAGACACGAAACGATCAGTTTGTGCCAGAAACCGAACAGTATTTATATCAGATTTTACCTCTAATACAGCACTATGTCCAACTGTCTTTGGGCGTGCGCACGGCATCCGGTGCGTGAGGTGTGTACGCGCTCTGGTGTAGTTCATCTGGTGTACACCAAAAATCATCATATGTGTTCTACTGAAGAAACAAAGTCACCTACATCTTGGATGCCCTGGGGGTAAGCAGATAAACATCACATTTTCATTTTTGGGTGAACTATCCTTTTAATGTATGTTCAGTCAAGCATGTCCAAATATTATATTATAATATATTATAAAACTAAGCTTTATAATTTGCTTGCCAAAGATATAGAAAATGAATGAGTTTTGGGCCGTATAATTTATATTTTAAGTTGTTCTTCTTTTTTTTTTTTTAGAAATGGCTTATACAGTAGAATTCAACCTAACTGAGGAAACGCATACTTGGCCTTTACAAAAAGCATTTGTGAAATATTATTTGACAGTGAGAAGACTGCTGAGAAATTTTGCAGTATTACTGCCTCATTTATGATACATGGATGGAAAACAGAACAATCAGAGATCTTCCTAACAACACCGTGATTATATTAGCACATTTTATATTAGCATTAAATGCATAAGCTTCGGCTTTTCAGGAAAGTTCTCCCGTACTTTTAAAGACCATTGAATAGCATGAATTGTACAGTACACTTACCTTAACATGATGTATTACACTATGCCATAAAAACTAAGCATCATGCACTGTCATGCATACGTGCATGCAACTGGCGGAGTCATGTTTAGCAAGCTAGCAGGCCATCAGAGAGTTTTGTGGAGCAGAACCACTGATTAAGCACCATTTCAAACAGACAGCAGGTTTCTTTTGAAATCAGCTGGAGTGGGTTAGCGGATGGGGGTGGGAGTGACATCGCGGCTCAAGTGGCAACATTTGTGCAATTCCAGCGGGACGGGATCGGAGGCCACAGCTGAATCTGTTCTATTTGATCCAGTCGATGAGAAAGACTGAAGGAGCCAAAGCTACATAGCTGAAACTCTTTAGACGCATGCTGGTTAACTCATGGTGTGAGAAAACAAGACAAATCCCTCTGACCCATTCTCTGATCCTTCTTCCTCTTTTCCATTCATCCCTTCATTCGGTTTATCTATTTCTCCTTGTTATTTTTACTCCTCTCCTTTTCCAGGTACCCGAGACAACCATCTGAGAGCCCATAAGCACTACAGCGACAGCTTCCAAAGCCTCAAAGGTTTATGTGATACCGCTGCTCTGACAGAGACAAGTTTGGGTCGGTAAGTGGGATTTTACCTTGGCCCGAAAAATACAAACCAAGCAGGGGAACTTTGTGAGTTCTTTGATAAAAAACACGAGTGTCCGCAGGTCTCATGTGAGCGGTAGACAGCAAACTTGAGTCAAAGGGGGGAGGTTGAATTGGGGACTTCAGGGACCACCTGTTGTAGCACAAGACACTGATATGGCTGTGAACGGTTTCTATGGTTTTAGAAACTGATTTGGGCCCAGGCCCAGTGGAGGTTTCTGCTGTGGCCGCTGACAGAGGGACCGTATCTGCAGCTGTCCCTGTTAATTATACTGTTATCCCGGGTTTGGGAGGCGTCCCAATCAAACTGTGGAGTAGACACAGAGCATGACTTCATTGACTCCACGTCCACAGGGAATGATATCTCCCATTTTGCACTCCTCGTAAACGCCTTTGCGTGTGATTGCTTTATCTAGCCCACACCTATAAACTCTGCTGTTCCCACACTGTAAAGCATGGTAAATGACCACCCTCCCCTTTGAACAGACATTGCGCAGTCACATAAGAAAACAAATCATGCTTTCGTAATTCATAAAAAGTCATAATTATGACACACAAAGTCACATTTCAACATTTTATCAATCATTTTTTATTTTTATGTCACACTTTCGACTTCATCTCATGACTTAGTATGTCAATGAATTTTTTTATCTCATAATTATGACTTAGTATCAGTTTGCTGACTTTGTCAAAATTGTGACTTTTATTTCATAATTTAAATTTTTTAATCTCAATTATGACTTAGTATCTCATAATATATCTCGCAATTTCGACTTTTTGTCATAATTCCATCTTTTATGTCACAACTGGTTTTATTCCGTAGTTGTTACATTTGATCTCATAATTATCATTTCTCTCAATTATGACTTAGTATCTCATAATGTTGACTTTTTGTCATAATAGTGACTTTTTATCTCATAATGATACCATTTTTATGTCAACATTTAAACTTTTTGCTTCATAATTATGACAGTGGTACTTGTCATTTTTGTCAGAATAATAAAACATTTTATTTGATAATTTGATCATCATAATTTCAGCTTTTTATAATAATTGAGTTTTCATTATTATTATTACTTAGTATCTCACAGTGTTGACTTTGTAGGCTATGTCATAATTATTATTTACCACTGCGTGATTTTATTTAATTTTTTTAAATGTGGCTAAAATGGGCTTTCATGCATGAGAGATAAAGTAGACATATTAAAGATGGGTGAATAAAAAACCCTTTGTAATTGGTTTTAATTTTACTCATTTAGATCCATTCAGGCTCCGTCAGGCTGACTGGAAAGCAGATTTTCAATGGAGTCTGGGCCATTCAGTGACATTCAAAGACTTTCCCCAAATGCCAACATTGCTTTGTCTGTGGTTTTGTTGTCATTGCTAAAAGTAGTTTCCCAGAGCCAGACGTTTGACTTGCGCCATTAGGTCTGGAACACTTTGCGGCTTATTTGGTCAATAACTGCCAACTTAGACAGAAAGCGACCAGCCACAGTTCATTGTGTTTTATGTGTGAGGCGGGTTTATTTGAAAATAAATATTCAATCATCCTCTACTCACCCTCATGTCATTTCAATCCTCTATGACTTGTCTTCTGCAGAACACAAAATAAGATAATTTAATGAACATCCAGCTGCGTAAACGTTGCCACCTAGTGGACTGGAGTGTGTAGTGCTGAATGGCACACAGCCAGGAGACTGCCATTATTACAGTATCATTGCTTAAATACTGAGTTTTTATTCACTCATTCATTTATTTTAAATGATCTGAGCACTTGGAAGATGATTACTTGGACACTCTTGGGGTGCTTCAAGCCACAATAAGTTGCCATTCACAACTGGATAGTCATTAAATTATCTTCTTTTGTGTTGACAGAAGAAAGAAAGTCACACAGGTTTGCAACAACATGATCGTGAATAAATTATGACTTTTGATTATGATTATTATTTTTCTTTTTACCTTTAAGGGTTGTAGAACTTCAGTTAGTATCATTACTGTCTGATTGTTCACATGAGAGCATAAGTTAAAATAAACTTTATGATCAAACATATTTTAATAATACTATTAAGAATAATAATAACATTAAAACTGTTACCTGAATGCAGGTGATGCTAAACCATTCTCACATAGGCCTATCTGATTGTTCATTATACATGTTTTTACATTTAAAAGTTCCTGACATAAGATGCATCCTTGAGAGATGACTTTTGAGCTGACATGAATTATTGTGGAGACTGTAATGTCATCTCTAACTGAAGCTCACAACTGATAGCAACTCTAAGCACCCTAACCAACTCTGGGTCTATAGCCTAGGGTCTGACCGCAAAGTTACAGGCATCTGCATCACGCAAACGATATATAGCTATTATTAGTTGCTTTTGACTTATTAATCAGAATTTGTAGAATTATTTTTACTCAAGTTAAGTTATTAAGGTTCTCACTAAGTTTGTTATTTTATATTGGGGACCTACAAGGCGTGATTAACCCTGTACTGCCCAGGTTTGTCGCCACCGCAGCTGAAGTGTTCAGATGGATGAACGTGAATGGATGAATGTGTTTGTTTGTACGTGAAACTTTTCACTACTAGATGACAGCGTGTACTTGATTACTCCCATTTAGTTGTTACAAAATAACGACAAGAATGTGTACAGAATATCCCACAACCATCTAAAATACAATGTGCTACAGCACTAAGTACCTTAAACTATGTAACGTAAACCAATATTTATTTTTACTAATATAAAATAATAAGAGGGTGCTGAATGGGGTTAGGTCACAAGCAGTTATCAGAATGGCCTTAAACTGTGCTGTATTGCATTTTAAAAAGTAATAATAAAAATGTACTTAATAATAAACGTTAACAAACGGGGAAGTCGTGGCCTAATGGTTAGAGAGTCGGACTCGTAACCCAAACGTTGTGGGTTCAAGTCTCGTACCTGCAGGGATTGTAGGTGGGGGGGAGTGAATGTACAGCGCTCTCTCCCACCTTCAATACCATGACTGAGGTGCCCTTGAGCAAGGCACCGGACCCCCAACTGCTCCCTGGGTGCCACAGCAATATGGCTGCCCACTGCTCTGGGTGTGTGTGTGTGTGTGTGCACTTTGGATTGGTTAAATGCAGAGCACTAATTCCAAGTATGGGTCACCATAATTGGCCACATGTCACGTCACTTTAAATACTATAATAGATAGCTGTGATTTAGTTTATATAGTCTTTATTAAACTGTTATTTGTAAGAATGAGGCAAAGACAGAGGGCAAGAGTGAGCTGATACCAACCATCAAGTTCCGCCACAGCTGCCTGCTGAGAAACCAGCGCTGTATCGCGGCTTACCTGTGTGTGATTCCCTGGGTTCTCCTCTTATCCATCATCAAGTTCACTCTTGTGCACTCTTGGCAGGTGTGGTCAAACCCATCTCTCTCTCTTTCCACAGTTATGATCGCCTCCTGCGAATCCGTGCTCTCAGATGGGAGTATGGCAGTGTGCTGCCCACAACCATTAGGTTTCATATGTGTGCTGAAGAGGTGGGCCTGCTTTTCTTCTGTCTAATGTTAACAGATGTCACATGTATCTTTTTGGTCTGTGACTGACATGTTGTAATTGAAATGCTTATAAATCAGATGGAGTGGTTCAATCAGTACAAAAAGTCTTTGGCAACCTATATGAGGTCAATAGGTGGAGAGGAAGGTTTGGACATAACACAGGATATGAAGCCTCCTAAGAGTTTATACATTGAGGTGAGTGCAGTTTTGTTTTAGTAGAACTGAGATACTAATATGGTTCGAGTTTTTTCCCCATTTTTAAGTTTTAGATTTTTTTAAAATAAAAATGTCTATTTTGTTAAGTTTTAGTCAAGTACATCAAGAAACGTAGCTGAAATAAGTTTCATAGGATTTTTATGTCAGTTAACATTTATTTTCTTTCAAGTAACTTTTTTTTAATCATTTTGTTATTAATGATAACCGTGAGTGCGTAATCACAGAAATGTAGGCTCTGTCCGTTTTCATGCACTTCATGCCAGTTAAGCACAACCTACTGTTGAATTCTTATTATTGTATGGGAAAAACATCTCTTTTTACTGTAATGTGTAAAAAAAAATATTACAGTAAAGAGATTTTTGTTATAGTTGTGAAGTATTTATGCATTATAGTAATATTTGTTGTAATGCCTTGTAAAAGACTTACAGTAAAATTACTGTTACAGTAATTTGAAAGCTTAAAATGTTAAATCTTAATAGTCCTAGCATAGGCTTTTGTTATTTTGAGGCAATAATGCCTTTTTTGTGTGTGTGTGAAATTCATCCATTAAGCTAAATGGAGTAACATTATCAGCACTGATGTATCATTTCCTTCCCTTTCAGGTGCGCTGTCTTAAAGACCATGGAGAATTTGAAATAGATGATGGCACCATCATTCTCTTGAAGAAAAATATCCAGGTAACTATATTCTTAAGACTACAAGGACTGCTTTAAATATATATATATATATATATATATATATATATATATATAGCTTAAGACATTTCACCCTTTCTCTCTTCACATTTCCATCTGGGTAAAAAGTGCTGTGAAGAGAGAAAGGGTGAAATGTCTTAAGCTATGTAGTGTTGTCAAGACAAAGTGGAGCTTTTTCACCTAGAGACGACCTCTACAGCCCTGAATTTCAGCGGAGACCAGGACAACTAGATGAGCCCCAGAGACAGATTCCCAGTGAAGACCTTGTTTCCTAGACGGCCATCGGGACAAGACCACGGAACCAGATGAGTCCTCTGCACAATCTGACTTTGCTGCATATATATAGCTTAAGACATTTCACCCTTTCTCTCTTCACAGCACCTTTTACCCAGATGGAAATGTGAGCAGCTTATTCAGCAGGGTGTATTAGAGCACTTCATCTCCTAAAAATAAATAAAGTATTGTATTGTGGATAATTTCCTTCACATTCATTTAGATGACTCAGCTTTAAATTTGAGTGATTTGTCTTTTCAGAAAGCAGCACAACTTTACTTGGTCACATTCTTTACAGTGGTACATGATGCATTTACAACAGTTTCATCTCCCAACAGTTAGCCAGCTCTTTTAAACAAGATGTACATCATAAGAGACATCCGCAACACTTACAATAATTTATATCAAAGTGGACATTAGTGCATCATGATTGACAATGGTGAAATTTCAAGATAGTATTTGTATCAAAACTGTACATTGCGTGAATACTGTGCTTTTGGTTATTGCACCTCAAGGGGCATTAAAAAGAATGTCTTATTTTACTAGCAGTTATTGAAGCCAACAAATTCACAAGAACGCTTGCGGTTTGTACCCTACATCACAGTGAACAATTGAAGGAATGTGTAATGTTCTGTCCTTAACGAATGATCAAATCTCATACTACAAAAGTCTTGTTCATTGGTATTTGTTTGCCTCTGAAGAGACCATTAAATTAACATAACCCTTCGTCCTCTTTATACTCTTGAAAACAGCACGATTTAATACAATATGCTGTTACGGTAACTGTAAGACTTTGCATTATCTGTGCTTTCATTTTAACACTAAGAGTGCTTTAAAAAAAAAAAAAAACATGTTTTGCATCAAAAGACAAAAGTGCACTAGCGCAGTGGTTCCCAACCCTGGTCCTGGAGGCACCCCAACACTGCACATTTTGCATGTCTCCTTTCTCTGACACACCAATTTCAGGTCTTTGAGTCTCTACTAATGAGCTGATGACCTGAATCAGGTGTGTTTGATTAAGGAGACATGCAAAACGTGCAGTGTTGGGAACCACTGTACTAGCGGATGGGACTTCACAGTCCAGTACAACAGATAAAGGTTCATAGTGGAGTAAAACAAGTCTAAGCTGTGAGGGATGCTGGGGCAATTTTACATAGCAGTTTATTAAGGGCGATCACTTTCTCCTCCAAGAGGAAGGACTTCTTCTCTGCACTCTTCTGCCTCTGCTCCGTCACCTGAAGAGCCTTCATGAGCTGAGAGTTTTCCACATACAGGTTTTTCAGCAGCAGATCTGACTTGGCATTTTTGGCCAGCTATGTGGTGAAGAGAGATGATTGTCACTATAAAATATCTTTTTATATAAAATAACTTCAGCATACTGATAGAATACAATTACTATTTCTGAAGTTCTTAGTATGTATGCTTCAGTATGGATGAAATGCTCAGTTCACCTACATTTGCCAAAATGTGCACCAAGTCAGTGTATCCCACAATGTCAAGAGCTTGGCTGCCTATTTCCAGTGTGAACTTTTGCTAGTTACAGAGCTACCAAAAGTTCACACATTTATACTCAATTAAATGTTCAAATAAACGTACTGTAGATGAGTTTGTTTCTTAATTGGAACAGATTTGGAGAAATGTTGCATTACATCACTTGCTCAAAAATAGATCCTCTGTAGTGAATGGGTGCCGTCAGAATGAGAGGCCAAACAGCTGATAAAAACATTCAAAATAATCCACAAGTAATTCACACGACTCCAGTCTATTAATGAATGTATTGTGAAATGAAAAGCTGTGTTTGTAAGAAACAAATCCAGGCAACTTCCACTAAAATAAAAGTCCTCAATACATAATATTGCTTTCTCCAGTGAATAAGTCATCTCGTCTGAATCAGTAAAGAAATATGCAGAGATCAAACACCATTTACAAGCAAAGAGTTGAAAACAGTTCTTAAATATGGCGATGGATTTTGATGTGAGAGGACAACAGAGGATGGACTTTTTCACTGGAGGTAAAATTATAGATAGTTTTAAGTGCCTTAAAGATGGATTTGTTTCTTACAAACAGCTTTTCACTTCACAAGACATGAATTGATGGACTGGAGTAATCATTATGATTTTATCAGATGTTTGGACTCATTCTGACGGCACCCATTCACTGCAGAGCATGTGATGTAATGATACATTTCTCCAAATCTGTTCCCATGAATAAACAAACTAATCTACATTTTGGATGACCTGAGGGTGATTACATTTTCAGCAAATTTTCATTTTTGAGTGAACTACTGTTTAAATAATCATTTTGAAGATGATGAAACAAACAGTACAGTATGTGAGTTTATGTCATGTGAAATTTTTACTTTATTTCATAAGGACTACTAATGTTTCACATACTAAAAACTATAGAAAAAAAAAATAGTAAACATTATGAGGTATTCAGTAAGCTCGTAGTTAGTTTCAAAAATATTTGTATATTTTCTAAATGTGGTTTTAATGCTGTAAGTTTCTGGTTACCTGTTCTTTTAGCTGGTTGACTTTCTCCTGCAGCATGACTCGGGTGTTTTTCAGCTTGGCCTCAACCTCATCCATATGCTCCTGCATACTCGCCATCAATTTCTCATATTGCTCCTGTTGTTTAATTTAATAGTTTGTTAATAAAAATATACTTGAAATATGAGATCAAGGGTGAAAAAAAAAAAGATTCAATGCAAAAATGTATAAGCACTAGCATGTTCACTCCCTGTTCGACTGTCTTAAAGTTTTGAAAGTGATGCTGATGTACCTGCTGAAGGCCCATCTGAACGCTGGCCTGCTTGGCCTGAGAGCGAAGCAGATCCTCTAAATCCTGCGTCCTGCGCTGTTGCTCAGCTAGTTGAGTTTGCATATGAGCCAAGTGCTCCCGGGTGCCAGAACCCATATGTTCCCTTAGTTCCTGTACCTCACGTGCATGCTGGGCCTGGACCAGCGACAGAGTGCTATCTGCCCTTAATGCCTAAACCACAACAAACACAAAAATGAGAACAAAAACATTCATAAGGAATACTCAATCAGTGAGAAGTTTGAAACTGATCTCCATACCCGTTCATCTGCCTCATGTTTAGCGGTCTCTAGCTCTGCCTGTTTGTTCCTCAGAGTGAGGCACTCGTGTGTCAGTCTCTGAAGTTCCAGCTCCCGAGTCTGCAGCTGAGCCACCTAGAAATATAATCCAGCACATCAGAAAGACTTCTGAAGGGTCATGTGACACTGAAGACTGGAAATTTAGTGCTGAAAATTTAGCTTTGCATCACAGGTATAAATGACATTTCAAAATATATTCAATTACTAATTTTAAATTGTATGAATATTTCACAATATTACCGTTTTTACTGTATCGATCAAATAAATGCATGCTTGATGAGTATAAGAGACTTTGAAATACATTGAAATTCCCTGTAGTGAATACAGAAGAACATTCCTGCAGCTCAAAGAATGGCGCTATCAACCACGAGGTCATGGGATCGATTCATTTTGGATAAAAGCCTCATGTATAAATGTAAATGCATTCCAAAATGTTCTCTAGAAAATAAACAAGGAGCAATTATGGGTAGCTTCTAATTGCATATTGAGAAAAATCTATTGCAAAAGCAATTTGTTGTTCCTTACTAACCTTATCATGAAGTTCCTCGTTTTGTACTCGCAAACACTTGCACTCCTTTTGCAGAACACTGACTGCCGTCTCCTCCTGAAGCCTGTGGGTCTGAAGTAACTGCTCCTTCTCTTTACGCAGCTGACGTGTGCTCTCCTCAAGCTCCTGGACCTTGTGTTTTATAACAATATTTACAAGTTATTTTTTATTATTTCTGAATGACTGCAAGTGCGTTTAAAGATGTATAAAGATCTTGGTTGACCTTTTCCTGAGACTGGTGCAGCATCTTCTGATGTGTGGCCGACTCATGGACGTGAACATCCTTTTCTTGCCACATACTCAAGATCTGGGAGTTGAGCTGCTCTATCTGGCTTTCTGATTTGCCAAGTGATTCCTGAAGCTTTTCCAGCTGCAAAAAAACACAAAGCCCATTTCAGCATAAACATGTTCAGCAGCATCTGAAAAAGAGAGCACAAACTCTTCACCTTCTGGTCTCTGTCTGCCGTTTCCTTCAACAAACGCTCCTTGCTTTGCTCTAGTGCTTGGTATTTCAGAGTCTGACTACTCAATGCAGACTCAACCACCGTCAAATGCTGGAGCTGCAGAAAAACAGCCGTTTCAGCGATTCCTGCCAACTTTTAAATAATTTGTTAATATGTGACCCTGGACCACAAAACCAGTCATAAGGGTCAATTTTTCGAAATTGAGATTTATACATCATCAGATTTATCATCAAAGCTGAATAGATAAGCTCTCCATTGATGTATGGTTTGTTAAGATAGCACAATATTTGGCCGAGATACAACTATTTGAAAATCTGGAATCTGAGGGTGCAAAAAAATCTAAATACTGAGAAAATCGACTTTAAAGTTGTCCAAATGAAGTTCTTAGCTATGCATATTACTAATCAAAAATTAAGTTTTAATATATTTACAGTAGGACATTTACAAAATATCTTAATGGAACATGATCTTTACTTAATATCCTAATGATTTTTGGCATAAATGAAAAATCAATAATTTTGACCCATACAATGTTTTTTTGGCTATTGCTACAAATATACCCCAGCGACTTAAGACTGGTTTTGTGGTCCAGGGTCACATATTTCCTACAAAACGAAACCATACCGTCTCCTTGGCAGTTTTAAGCTCCCTCTCTAGAAGCTCCTTCTCTTTCTGCCACTCTTCCTGCAGCTTTAGTGTGTCGCTCTTCTGCTGTTGAAGGGTTTCCTGCAGCTGTCTGTAGGACGCAGCTGCCTCATCATTCTCCTGACACACCTGTGCTAGCCTGTCAGTCAGCGTCTGCACTGCTCTCTGATCAGTAGACCGTCGGGAACTTAATTCCGCGTTCTCATTGCTAAGCTGCAGGTTTCTCGCACTGAAGTCAAGCACCTCCTCTCGAAATTTGGTATTCTATGTCGGAGAAATAAAACAATTGTTAGGAGCAGCAATCATTTCGTTTTCATAATGTGGCATTTAACGGAATATTTAACAAGAGAATAAATAAATGAATGAATTGGAACGGAAACAGTGATCTCTTTATAACAGGTGGTTGAAATAGAAGGGGGCTTGGTGATATCATTATTTTAGAGGTGGATCAAATGAAGTATTTTGACGAAATACCAAGAACACAAACTTTTCTTTGGAATAATGTGGACTGCTGAATTTTTTTAGAATAAGACCAGAGATGAGTATTAAGAATAGGGTCTGAATTTAAGATCCATGCTATCACTTACCTCTTTCCGTAGCCTCTCCTCTTCTTCTCGATTCTTCATATATGCTCTCTCCATCTCCTCAAGTTTCCTCCTAAATATAGTGAAGCAGAATATTAGATTCTGCTAAATAAAATGGCAAAATAAAATGTGGATAGTTGACAAGTCAATGATTTCTTTACGTCTTTTTGTTGAGCTCCTCCTCCAGCGACTTGACATCCCGCTGTAAGACAGCAAGCCTGTCTTTCAGTGCACTGTTTTCGGAGGTGACCTCATCAAGTTGAGCCCTAGAATTGGAAACCAAAATATAGAGATCAGCTCTTCATAACAAACTTACCCACCTCTGCCCTTTTAGGCAGCTTAGTACAGAAAACAATATAATGTTATATTTTCAATATAATGAAAATAAGTTTTGTAGCTAGATTTAAATTTTTTTTGCTAAAGCTTAGGGCAGCAAACACAAAAAAGTTATGCTATTAATACAATTAAAAGGATGCAAGGACACTTTCAATCAGAATACATACAGTAACTGTTATTAATAGTGAGATTGCATGCATGTCAGTGACAATAATATCATTCAGTTAGTGAGATGCAGCATGAGGCCTGAAAAATCAAAGCGCATGTCTACGGTTAATGAAATCTCATTGTGTGAAACATACAGGCAAACATTCTTGGACAAACATGGAAGTAGTGAACAGTCAACTCTTGGCATCCATACGGGAGAAACGGCGATTGGATCAATGCAGCAATGGTTAGTCTTGGTCTGTTTCGACGGTCATCTACCAGCTAGAGAACCACAAACCTGTGGAGATTGGCCATCTCTTGTTCTAAAGCCATGACAAGCCCCTCCATCTCTAGAAGCTGTTCTTTCATATGGCTCTTCTCGCTTTCAAAGACCTCCATCTGTTGAAGCTCTGTTTGGGAGTCCATCAGTGATTGCTGAAGTTGGTTGGCGGTATTGTCGGCTTCCTCCCTCAGAGAGCACAGCACTCGCTCTTTGTCCTCCAACTGGTTGGTCAAAAGTTGAACCGGACCAGAGAGTTGAGTGACGTTCTTAAACAGGTTTATCTTCAGCTGATCTTCGTTCCAGAGCAAATCTATCTCTTCGGGTTTGGCTTCAAGCTGACGATTGAGTTCCAGCATTTGATTGTCTTTGCTTTGCAGCTCCAGTGCAAGTTTATCGGCGTTCTCTTTGAGTTTGGTAGACTTTGCCTCCATTTCGACAATCTGAGATGAAAGCTGGTCTACAAGTTGCTGGTAGTTAGAGTTCTCTTGTTCAAGATGTCTTGTTTCTTCTTGCTCTGAGTTCAGTTTTGCTTGGAGCTGTTCAACCTTACCCTGTTCCACACAAACAGAGACTTGAAGTTTTTGCTCCATCATATGCATTTGATCCCATTCCTCAGAGAGACTATTGACCTGTGTTTGTAGCTGTTTGAGAAGTTCACATTGACCCCTGAGCTCCTCTATGAGTCGATCCCGCTCTGTCTCCACAGCATTTATCTCAGAAGCCTGTCTTGTAAGATCGTCATCTCTGCTTTTCAGTGCCTCGTGCGTTTTGGCCAAGTTTTCTTGAAGCTCCACAAGTTCTTTCTCTTGTTCTCTCAGCTGCATTTGCTGCTCACCAAACGCAGTAGACAGATGACTACTGCTTCCCTGCATCATTTCAATCTCCTTCTGCCAGGTCTCAGATTTGGTCCTCCAGTTCTCCAGCTCTTTAGTCAACTGAGAAACTCTGTTAAGAAGCTCCTGTTCCTTCTCTTTTCCAAGTTTCTCCTTTAGATCTTGAATACTTCTGTCTGTTTCTTTCTGTAGTTGCTCCTTTTGCTTTAGGAGCTCTTGCTTCTTTTCTCTCTCTGCCTTAAGATTTTGCTCTAGCTGAGAGAGCTTATTGCAGAGCTTTCGCTCTTTCTCATTTCTGATTTCCATTTCCTTCTCTTTGGCATTAAGTTCTGAGGTCAAATTCTGGATGAGGGCATCTTGAGCTTTCATGGAAACCGTGTTGTCTTGCAGTTGAAAACACATCTCTTCCAGCTTATCTTCAAGCTGTCTTTGTAGTACAAGCAGCTCCTCTTCAGCCCTGGATGCGAGCTCTACTTGAGCTTCCATGAACTGGATGTGTTCTTCTAGCTTCCTGACCTCCTCCTGGTGTTCCTCCTCCAGTTTCTTCCTTTCCTGTGCCACCCTGCTGCAGATCTGAGCTTGGCCTTCACTCCAGCGCTCGGTGCTGAGGAGACGCTCACGGCGCACCTCCTGTTCCAGCTCCTGTACTCTTGCCTCCCACGCACCAACTTCTCTGTGATGCTGCTTGGATTGCTCCTGCAGACGGCTGCGCTCAAGGTGCAGCTGGTGGAGGAGGCTGCCCTGAGCCTCGCTGTGTTGTGCCTTCATGTGCAATAACTGCTGCTCTGCCTTCTCCCTGGGACACAGCAACATGCTAATATGTCTAAATGTAAATTCATGGCAATGTCATGGATACCAAGAGGAAAAAAAAAACTACTTTCTCCTTACAAGCATGTTGGTTAAGAGGTTGAACTTATAGTTAAACACAGCTGGGTTCAGGATGTCATTTGTACACAGGACACCATCTTAGATATAACAAAGGTCTATATGAAGCATGCATATTACTTTTCATTGAAAAGCATATAAATTGTACCATATTTTTTAGAATGTCATTTTTTTATCATCTGAAATATACTGTGTGACTAATTTCAAAGCGACTTATATAATGAAATTAAAATGTTAAATTTCAGTTTCGCTTTAAATTTGTTTAGACTTGCCATTTATAGTCAATATTATTTGCCATTATAAATTTAGTTTAATATTTAAAAAATTGTATTCCTGTTTTTTTCCCTGAATACAGTTGTTGTTGTTGAATTTTGTTGTTGAATTTTCAGCAGCCACCAATGTTAAAAAATGGTTAATACTGTTCAATGTTAATATCAATATTTAAAACAGCTGCAACTTAATATTTTTTGGACACTGTGATTATTATTTTTTTTTTCAGGATTCTTTGAAGAACTGAAAGTAAAAAAAAAAAAAAAAAAAAAAATTTTTGCCCCAAAAACTTTCACCCTCGGCCCCCCACCCCCCAATATCAATATTTAAAACAGCTGCAACTTAATATTTTTTGGACACTGTGATTATTATTTTTTTTTTCAGGATTCTTTGAAGAACTGAAAGTAAAAAAAAAAAAAAAAAAAGAAACTTCTGACCCAAAAACTTCTGACTGCGCCCCCCCACCCCCCCTTTGAACAGACGTGAAAGTGCACTATTCAAACTTCAATTGTTGTGGAGTCAGTGGAACTAAAATACTAAAAATAGTGTTCATAATGTTTGTAAACTTTTTTTTATTTTAGTATTTTACATTATTTCTGAATGTAGTAATAAAATGTGACTTACACACCAATGTATTATTTGTGGCTTTTTTTCTCTCAGCAATGCAATTTTGGCAATAGGGTGAATCTCACCAAGCCTGTAAAGAACTTTCATATAATTTTAGGACCACTGCAATTTTTGGCAGCATTCATTTTCTTTCTTTTTTTTTTTAATCAACAATTGAGCACATTTCTCATTAATTCTCATTACTATAATGCATTCAAATGTTTTTATTATGAGTGGTTTTTAAATTCCTATTGTATTCAATGGTGATTCCCATTAAATTCATCATACTGTAAAACATTATTTGTAACATTACTGTAAAAATGTTTGACTTTTTTGTTAAGTCATCAGTTAAACTCAATACAACCAAATACTACCTACTATAATGCATGAACACATTTAGAATCAAAATAATATTTTTTTCCCACATTACAGTAAACAGAATGAAATACTTTTGTATTACTGAAATGAGAATTATTAGAAAATAAATATTGTAATTTGCTTGTTTGTTTAAGAGAAATCACCCGGACATATTTGACAGGTTTACAGTGACAGAAAATAATATACGGTTTCTGTATTTTATTCTATCACTAAACAGTCCTAAAGACCGTCTCAGCACTGACAAGCCATTCACCTTCTCACATGGTAGCTCATTTCTTTTTTTAATATGTAAGACTAATGTCTACAATGGATGAGCTGCACATAATCCCGTACCAGATCGTTTGAGCGCCACTTACCTAACAAGCAGCACTTCCTGGTCCATCTTGAGCTTGAGTTCTGCCTCTAGCTGATCTTTCTCTGAGGTGAGGCGCAGCACGATGTTACTGATCTCACGAGCGTAGTTCTGCTCCAGTTCCGCTTGTTCTCGCTGAATTCTCCGCTCTAGCTCTGGACCCCAGGCTCCTCCTGAAGTCTTACCCCTCAGCTCTGCTTCCAGCCGCTCAACAGCCTGACGCATTTTCTCTGCCCGCTCCTCTGCCTGAGCCTTCAGGTCCTCCAACTCACTGATCTCGATCTTAAAGCTCTGCGAGATGTCCTTCCGCTCAACCTCCATATTCTGCCGCATCAGATCCATACTGCGCTCATAGAAATTCACCTGTTGAAACAAAATTAAGACCATAAATCACTTCCTCTCTACAGTAAGGTTTTGTTTACAAAATTTGTGTTGCCAATTGCAATAGTGTAACAGTCGGGTTCTGGAAGTAAAAATCCCATTAATCACTGTTGTACTCTATAAGGTTTTAACTGGTACCTGGTAACATTGTATGTCTAGGAGCATTTGCACATCTTAGCTGTTCCCCTTAGCTCTGACTGTTTGAATCTAAACTAATTTGCAAAGGTACTTGTAGCAAACCTATTTCATGTTTCCATACTATTCCTGTACCTTAGTCTCCAGCTGGATCTTCAAGTCCTGGACCTCACGCTCGTATTTCTCTTTCATCTGCTCCATGGCCAGTTCTGTCTCGATGCTCACAGGGGGAGCCAAACTCTCCAAGGAACCCAATACTGAAGAGACACACCAAACTAGCATGACCCATGTGTATGGATATTCCATAGGGAAAGCATAACTTTGTATTTTTTTTTTAATTCTCACCGTCCTTGTCAGTGACTTGGAGCTTTTTTCTGACCTGAGGAGATGTACCTTTCTTCATTTCTGGATCATCTGCAGCAGAACAAAACAGATATGAGGAGTTGTTCATTCAACAGTTTACTAAGTCAAAGTACATAAACTTGGGTATAGCATGAAAGAGATACGTGAGATCTAGAAAGGTATACTTGATGACTAATATTCAAAATATTTGTTAAATTCACCAGAATCTGATTCGGTGGTTAATGCTCTTCGGCTTGACCAGTCATGACCAGACAATCTGCTCCTGGATCGTCTGGCTCTCCTTCCTGAGCCCTGAGTTTTCAACAACTCCAGCTCTGAGTGTAACTCGTCATTCCTGTCCTGCAGCTCCTGTATTTAGTGGGGCGGATACACAGGGTCATTTACTCAAGTAAAACTATTTTTTTCTTCATTTCCTGAAACAAAGATTTTGTAATGCAGAGGTGAAACATATACTTTCTTTGCCACAAACATCACCAAATGGAACTGCAAAAATGACAAATGGCTTACTTATAGTTGTCTCTGTAAATATTTGAGAAGAAAAAAAGTATTTTAACATTAAAAATTTATACACAACACATCTGTTTTAAGAGCTATAAAATGTGTAATAGTTTTATATACATTTATAAATATTAAAAATATTTTTTTTCTTAAAAAGCCAAGACACCCCAGGTGAATAGGGTAAAAAAAAAAGATAAATCGCCATACTTCCCCCAGTTGATTGATTACATTTAGAATTGCAAACATTTTTTGCAAACTCTTATATCAAGTTTTCTAAAATATCGATATGCAAATGATGCATTATATAATTAAATATTCACTAATTTGCATACATTTCCAAAACAGAAATCTAAACACTGGATAAAGCCAGGTTCAAAATTATTGTTTCATTTTGTTGACAGTAGAGTTTTTACAGTAGAGTTTAAGGTTTTTACAGAGAGGATTTTGGATCCATTTTTATCACTCAATAAATAAAAAAATACTGTCAACAGCCAGAAAAATATATATATTTTCACCATGTTTTTAGGAATAAAATTTATAAAATCAAAGAAGAGTATATACACATCTCGGTAAAATCCGTTAAAACTGTAAAGTTTGGTGAACGTGCTAATGAAGTGGGAAAACTGCCTTTAAATATACATATTGTAATTGAAATCTACAGACACAAATAGATAAAGTGCAATAAAATAAACACTTAAGTGTATTTTGAATGTTTTCTTTCCACCAGCCAAATCATGTCAAATAGCACAAAAATCTCAAAACTGACCAGAGCATGAAAAAAAAACAATGTTTTTTTTAATAATGGGATTTTTTTGAATGGTTCCCAGGTGGTTACTTACTGGGCTCAAGTCAAAAGAGCAAAACTAATGGCACAATAGTGCAACACCTCAAAAAGTTGCACAATTAAAGATGTCATTTAAAGCACCATGAATTATAACATAGCTAGCATAATGGCCAAACAATGACACTTAAATACAATGCACAATGACAGGGTTCTGGACTGACTTCACCATTCACTCCAGACAAAATATCCACCAAACCTACACAGGCATGCTCATACCCTGCACTGCTGCTCGTACTCCTTAAAGATCTCTGAGAAGTGCTCTTCTTGATTCAGCAGTCCTGTACCATTTGGATCAAGGCCACCATACTGTTCAGTAAAACAAGCATTGATCCGTTATCATTATTGTTCTCAGAATTAACCTCAAAGGATATGATTTACAGCAATTTAACGACATATAGACATCTCACCTTGTCCTGCAGCAGATGATCTAGATCCTTCTGTAGTTTAGAGATGGTGCTCTCGGCTTCAGACAGCTTCTCCTTCAGGACGCTGACCTCCTCCTCCAAACGACTGTTCTCCTGTAACACACAGCGAGAGCTATTTAACCTGACACCGCACTGACATGCTCGAAGAAACATACACCTCTAACCATGACAGATCACCTCTTCATTAAGTCCTGTTCTGTAGCTAAGAGCAAGATCATCATGAAATTTAAGTCAGTGTGATTGCAAGAGAATTAAATGAGGGATGGTAAGGAAATTGTACTACAATGCAAACATTCTTTAGATATAGTTATGGAATTTTCAATATAATTTCTCAACTTGAAATGTTCAATGGCAAATTACACAACTGTTGGATGTTTTAAGATATTGTGAAATAATACTGAAATTTTAAATAATTGTTTTCTATTTTAGTACATTTGAAAATGTAATTTATTCCTGTGATGGCAAAGCTGAATTTTCAGCAGCCACCAATGTTAAAAAATAGTTAATACTGTTCAATGTTAATATCAATATTTAAAACAGCTGCAACTTAATATTTTTTGGACACTGTGATTATTATTATTATTTTTTTTCAGGATTCTTTGAAGAATTGAAAGTAAAAAAAAAAAAAAGAAACTTCTGACCCAAAAACTTCTGAATCCCCCCCCCCCTTTTGAACAGACGTAAAAGTGCACTATTCAAACTTAAATTGTTATAATTCATGAACGCTTTTGAATACAGACCTAAGGTTGATCTCTTTTTAATGAAGACAATCAGCAGATTATTGCAGAAGTGTGATTGTTTTATTTTTAATAAAAAAAAAAAAAAATGAAGGCATAAAAATGTATAGAAAAATTGAGGTTCCTATGCAATTTTGTTTAGGCGTTATACCACAAACAGCCACCGGGTGCCATCCAAACTCCATAGATTTTTTTTTTCTGTCACAAATGTATAGATTTCTCTTTCAGTATTACTTCTATCCCAAAATAACCACCAAATATGAAATCTTGAGACTCAGACCTTTCCGACGATATGTATTTTGTCAAGATTATAAAAAGTTTTGATTCCAAAAGACATTTTGTAATATGACACCCCCGCACTAAGGGGGAGGAGCCCAATAAAATATAATAAAAAGTACCATTTCTATGGTAATGCAATGCCCAATTTCAAAATGGTTTGCAGAGGATGAATTTTGAAGTTTTAAGCTTTCAAATGATATATAATTTATGATTATTACAAAAACAATTGATAGGGAAAAAGCAAACGATAAAAAAAATTGTGATTAAGGTCAGAACTCCTGTTATGAAGTATATGTTTTGAGGTGCACTCTTGTCAGATTAATCTATTACTGTTCATACATATTTTTTAACAACAAACAGTGGTAAAATACCTATTTAGGAGTCTTAGACCTTTCCAAAGATATATAGTTTGCCATGATTAGATTAGGATTTAATCATAATATATTGAAGTAAACTTAAGCGTCCCGCTAGCAGGACGGTGACACTTAAGGGGTTAAACAGTAGTGTATTTTAAGTGCCAAGACCTAAAAGAATATTGCTACTTAATAATAATAATAATGTCAGTGGTTACCTTAGCAGCAGTGCAAATGTCCTCCTGAAGGCTAACGTCCTGAGCCCTGAGCAGTTCTAGCTCCTCCTGGAGTCTCTTCCGCTCCTTCTCTACCTGTTCTAGAAGCACCTCACTTTCATACTCTGATTCGCTCCTCAGTACCGTAAGTTTATCCCGGAACTCTTGCTCCAAACCCCTGCATCAAAGAAACAAACAAACAAACAAAAACTAAAAAAAGAGACTGTGACACTGTAGAGTACGTGCATGCGTCTTCATCAGATGTGATTACATACTGACTAGAGGAGAGCAGCCGTACTTGATTTTCGACTCATTGAGAGACTCCATTGTTGCATGGCGATCATCCACCTCTCTGACCAGCTGTAGGTTGCGGCGATCAGCCAGTTCTAGGTCTGCCTTGGCTTTGTCCCTCTCCTGACAGGTCTGGTCTGCCACGACTCTACAGAGTTGGAACACAAATCCACAACAGCATGAGAAGATCATTCATCCTGATGCATATTTTGTCTTTTACATGGTTAACACCAGCCAATATTACAGCACAATATTACTGGACATTTTGTGACAGGACGTTTTGTGAAAAAAATACAGATCAATAACACTCACTGTAAATAGTTTATCTCATTCTTGTAGGAGACCAGAGCAGCCTGATGGATGCCATTCCCACTGACCAGCAACTCATTGTCCAGTGCCAGAGTGAGTTCAGCCAGACACAGACGCTCCTCCAGAGAGAAGTCCAGAGTCTGTATCCAGGTTCAGAATAAAAAACAATTCATGCCATGGTTTACAGAAAAAACATTACTTAATTTTAAATACAGCAGATTATAGTTTGTCAGTGTTTAAAGGGGTCATATGAAATTGAGGGGTCATATGACATTGCTAAAAAGAACATTATTTTGTGTATTTGGTGTAATGAAATGTGTTTTTGTGGTTTAAGATTAAAAAAACACATTATTTTCCACATACTGTACATTATTGTTGCTCCTCTATGCCCCGCCTTTCTGAAACGCGTAGATTTTTACAAAGCTCATCGGTCTGAAAAGCGAGGTGTGCTCTGATTGGCCAGCTATCCAGTGTGTTGTGATTGGCCGAATACCTCAAGCGTGTGACGGAAATGTTACACCCCTACCATACTGTGATGCCCTGTCCGGCCGGAGCGACGAGACAAATAAAACCCATTATAAACGAGGCATTTGTTGCATCCAGTGGGAACATAATTACGGATTATAATGACTTATACTGCCTTTTTACATGTTGCATCGCACCACATAAACATAAAACCATGTCTGCATTTGTAATCGGAGAAACGACAAACAACAAACACTACTCTACACTGCTCAAAACTTGCGTTTGAATCATCAGTGGCAATTCCTTTAAATATGAAAACGTACTTACAGGCTGTGAGTAAGAACAGCCGGCATTGTAGTCTACTCTACCAGGATCAGTAAACAGTCCTCCATAACATGTGCTGCACACATCTGAATATTTGGGTTGAACTGTTCTGGAACAGTGTTGTAAATACAACTTAACCACTGATTTCTAGTCGTGTCCTCTTTTGGAAGGCCAAACTAAGTAGTTTCGCTTTCACAACGAAACACACAGCATCACACACGGTGGGCTAGAGTGAGGAACGGCAGGGGGGCTTGAGAACGGCGTGGCCGGTGGGCTTGCGGCAACCACATGTGACGACCCCGGGCTGGACCCCGCTTCGTCCACGGTGAAAGCGATCCGCAGCGCAAAGTTGATGTATTCCCTCA